CTGTGTAGTTAATGCTGCTCAATGTGAAAGCCCGCAGGTGATGGAGATTTACCGCTGATTACAGAACCGGCTTTCTGACAAGATGCGCATTAAATATCGCATGCGATTTATCGTGCAGCCCTAGTTCAGACAAAAGCCTGACACAGGCCTATCCTGCATCAGCCCCTGAACCCGTGGGGGAAACATGTGGCACACACTTCAGCAAGTACGGCCGTGTCTCAGGCTCGGGGGACTCAAGGACAGTTTGGTTTTTATCACTCGATTCCCATCAATCCTCAGCTCCCAAGGACGGAGTGTTCTGAGTGCAGGGGCTTCCCTCCAGGGATCGCCTGTTCCCGTGATTCATCCCCTCTCTCCTCTCATCTCGGCTAAAGCCAGAGCTGTGTCGCGTTTAGTCACCCGCTCCGTCCCTGTTGGCCCGGCTGCTGTTACTCATGGCTTATTTTAGGCTACAGTTCTGGCTGCCACGGGAGGTGTGGCTTGGCCTTTACACACAGATGACACAGGCAGTGCTCCCTGTCTTTAGACTTGTCTCTCAGCTGGCATGGAAATGCCAGGTGTCTGGGTTGTCTTTCGAGAATTTGGGTGTCTGGGTTGTCTTTCGTGCTCTGTCTGTTTAGGTGGCAGGTTTGTAACTAAAATTGTAATTTTGTAATTGTTAAAATACTTTCTACAGTACAACTGTAAGTCAGCCATTTGTCAGCAAAATCCCCCTGAACAGTGTAAACACCGTGGTGCTTTCAAATCATTGTTCTGTTTGTTTGAGCATTCTGACCAGCCCGCATAGCAACACTGACTCAGCCAATGGCGTGAGTTTGGGGCGGGGCTATCTGTTTGTCTGACCAGTGACAGACGACATGATTGTTCAGGAAACCTGTTTGTAAACAATCATTCATTTTGCAGTTCTTTTCAGTTATGTTAATTTCAAAAGCTTTATTGTCTATCCCAAATGGGGTAGAAAATTGTCTTTAGATAAAAGGCTCAACACACAACCAATACAAATAACCATCACAAAAAATTTTACATTACATACATCACTTCACAACTATAATAATACATTTGTTCTTTTCAATGGTAAAATACTTTTGTTTTGTCCCAGTTTGTGCAAAAACGTTGCTGTTTGATTGAGCTGCTTGACTTATCAGCTTGAAACTGAACCAATGGCATAGTTTAGGGCGGGGCTGGCTGATTGTTGCCGGGCAGAAAAAAAGAATCTCTTGCACATACAAGAATGGACTCTATTTTATATATATATTATATAATATATATTGTAAATATGTTTATTATTAACTTTAAAAGTTAATATTTTTAATTGTTATTAGTATTTTTTATTATGTTTATATTATAAATTTTTTTAAACTTGTATTAACTTTTAGTAAAATAACATTTTAGTGTATTATATTAAAACTTAATGTTTTAATGAAAGCCAGAAACTTTAAACACTTTTAGTGTAAAGGTGGATTGTATCAATATTGCTTTGTTCCGCTGTGCGACACTTTCTCAAGATTTAATTTTGTGCATAATTTTCCTCACAGTTACATTCACTGCGCTGCATTGGCCGTCAAATTGTGTACCTGATGTGGAATATATTATTTAAACATGACATATGATGACACATGACAGTTTTAGAGGTTTTAGTCTTTCACTATTCAAATATATATTATCTGAGATGTAACCAGTATGGCTGCCGAGGGAACTGACTTGCTTTAAAAGGGATGTTGACAAAAGGAGTGTTTGGAAATCTGTTTGGAAACCTTTTCTTTTCCTTTTTCTTTTTAGTTCCATTCATAGCCACTAAAATTTAGACACATTTTAATGTGGGTGAATTGTCTGGATGAAAGATATTTCTCTTGACATTTGAGTTTGGTGGCTGTTTTTCCATTATGCTAAATAGATTGGTGTCGTTTAGTGAAGGAGCCCATCTGCTCAGGATTTTTAGATTGCTATTTTGGACAGGTGTTGACATAAAGAATATACACAACTGAAAGTCACCCTGTTGAAAGATATACACACTTACTCAAGTGACTTTTGTATTTTCAGTCTTGTACATATCTGTTTATATCTCTCTTTATTTCTGTGTCCGTCTCTGTCTCTCTTTTTCCGCCTCCCTCTGTTCTTTCTTTTCTTTCTTTTCTTATGCATACAGAAATACACTTTTTTCCTCCCCAAGACCTCCCAATGTATCTCATTCAGACCCCCACTATAGAAGATTGTTTTGCATAGTTCAGCGGGTAGAGGTGCTTCATCTTGTGTCACTAGAGGGTGGTCCTATTTAGATGGACCAGGTTGAGGGGGGATAAGGGTGACCTTTAGCCTTTACAGGGTCATCATCCATTAGGAAGTGATGGGTGGATGTCACTAGTCACCCTGCTATGACAATTTGTCTTCTAGAATATTTTTTTTCTGTCTCTCTAACTGCTCTTTTCAAGCTCAATCAAAACAAATAGGTGATGCCCCTATTTCACTCTTTCAGATTGAAGCCCCCACATCTCTGTTGTTTCCCCCGATCTCTTTTGTTCTTTATCCTGCTCTCTCTCAACAGACAGCTAATAAATTCCAAAGTGTCTGGCAACCTTTGGCATATCAGCTATAAAAAATGCAGTTTCTTTCAGTTTTATCAGAAATTGTGCCAGTGCAGGGAAACTGGTCTCATGACTCCAGTGCCTCCCAATCTGTTCTGCTCTGCGGTCTTGCGTAATCGTTTATGTAATGACAGGTGTCGTTTTAAACTGCGTAGCTGCATAGCAGTTCATTCATGGAAAGCAATTTCTGTTCAACAACACTGTCATCATGTAATCCTAAAAACACGACAGATGCGATTAAACGACAGCACTGACTAGAAAGCAGATTACCTATGGGTAAAAATAAACCCAATCAGCCAAGAATGACATCTATACGGTAATGAAACTCACAAGCCTGTCAAGTACATAATGACCTCAAAAGGAAAAGGAAAAAGTGAGAAATTATTATTATAAGAAAAACAAAGCCTATATTTAGGAATATAAAGGATTTTTTTCCATTATGACATTATTTTATGAAAATGAAGTACTTTTTACTCAATTCTCATTACCTTAATGTGAAAAAAAGTCTGAGACCACTAACAAAAATGCTAAAAAAATTAAAAAAAAAAGTTACAAAAATTAGAAAATAAAACAAAACAAAACAGTATTTCATTATAGTCTTTTGTACCTGACTGTATTATTTCAATTGCATTTATACCTCATGCCAATTAATATTTGTTGTAGTCTGTATCCTGTAATTTATGCTCATTTTAACCCAGGTGTTATTCCAAAATGTCATGCTATAACATTGAGTGTTGTTCAAGCCTCTTTCCGGCTTGAAAGTGACGTCAAAAGCCTGGAAGAGCTCCCATCTACAGGAGACACTTGACTTTTAATATAACAGAAATAGAAGGAATCTGGTGGGTTGGGAACATTGTGTTTCACTGCACTAATGCTGTCACCCTTTTAAATGTCACGCACTCTCACCATCTGAAGGTCGGGATGGGTGATGGGACCACTGTTGATAGCTAGAGCACTCGGACAGAGCAGGTGACCTGCTGACAAAGCTTGGTCATGTTTGTCAGACTGGGTAGATGGCACATGTGGCCTTAGCGCTGTGTGAAACGACATTTCAGTGTCCCTGAGCAAACAGCTCTTGAAGGGGCATCACTGGCACCTTGTTTCAGAGTTTGAGTTGAGAGGGAGTAGACAGGTAACTTTGAACCAATCAGATTCTTGTGGATTGATGAGGTCAGATTTGGCAGACACAGTGCTTGATATAGGCTGGATTATTTCTGCTGTTTCTGTAGCTAAAATAGTAGAGCATGGCAATTGCAACGCCAAGTTATTGTTGTTAAACCACATACAGCAAACAAGGTCCAGGTTGTCAAATGACAAAATACAGTTACCTGTAAACTTGCACAAATGTGCAAAAGGAAGTGTCCATCTATATTTTTACTCCCAAGTTTGCTGGAGTAAGAGAGCAAGTTTTTCATGACATTCACTGTAGCAAAGATAGAGTCTAAAGACATTTCCTCAGTTAACAGAAACCCACAAATGCAATCACTCACTCACTCTCAATGTACACTTTGTGGTGTTGTCAGTGTGGGTGACGACAATCTTTCTTGCGCACACACACATTCACATGCATATGTGCTCTACCTTTCCTTCACGGTCACATTTTTCTTACTAAGCATTCAAACACAATAAGCATGAGCACGTGATTAGACAGGAAATGTCAGAGTAAGAAAAATCACGCTCTTCCATCTCTTGTCCTACTGCTATCTCCTTCTCCTATATATCAGATGTGTAGCTGCAATCCCCCAGATGAGTTTGACCTCTAAAATAAGCTTCAGTAATCCATGAATCAAGACCTTCAAACTGTGAGAAACACATGACTCTTTGTTGTCACCTTCTTTATAAATCACAAAGCCCGTCACAAGATGACAAGTGATTCTTTGACTAGGAATATTCTTTGACAGGAGCAGGAACCTTTGAAATCCATGAATGAAATATTCAGTAATGCATCTGATGTTTTACAAGTGTGCCATAGATTAACACTGAGGGTGGTGGGAAAGGGATAGGTGATGTTATTTTTGGCCTTTAATTTGATTTCTATTTTTTCATGTCAATAATTTATATTCTTAGTTATGTTTTTCACATTAATAGTTTTTGAAAAAAAGTAGATTTACTACAATTCAATAAGCAAAACTAAGTTATTTCCACCACCGAAATCCAAACTACGAACAAGCTAAGATCATAATTGTGCAAAACATTTGAATAAAAATAAGATCACAACATTTTTATGTGGCAGCATGATTATGCTTGTCAATTTTATGTTTCATATGCTACTTCCCTTTTCAGTCTAAGCCTCTTCCTTAAAGAATATCTATGTCAGTTTCGATTAGTGTGGATGATTGCTGGAGCAGAGAGAATATCCTCTCGTATCTGTACTCCGTGCCCTAAACCTCTAAATTCTGGTCTCTTTTTCTCTTTCAGGTGTTTCTCTCTGGTGTGGTGCTGTTCCTCTGAGTGTCTGAAGAGATTTAACACTGAGAAATCCAGCAGCAGGTAACTCTACTCAGTCATTAAAAGCTGTTTTATTTGGCCCTTTCTTAAAGGATTCAACAGCCGGAGAAATGGAGAATAAATGAGGTAGGCGTCAAAATGGACGCGTGTCATATTGTATTTCCATGTACCTTCTAATCAGATTGTAGCATCTAGCGTTTCGAAAGCCAACCAGGATATGAGCTTCATGTGGAGTCAGTTTCCCTCCTCCAAAACCCATTACAATAAATCATGTCACTCTTAGTCACTCGGCACAGCTCTGTTAGCACAGATGCAGAATGCTAAAATGGATACAAGTCTTCCTGGAAATGAACTAAGATGACTTTGAATGTAGATTTGGGTATGGACGGTTGAGACGTACTAAATTTTGGTTGAAAGACCAATATTTAAAGTGACCACAGATGTGTTTGAATGTAATACAAGTATTGAAAATTTTTTTAAATGCAGTGTGATTTGCTTATGCTTGATGCCAAGAAGCTTTTGTGCGTTTTTTTTCTTGTTGGAAATTATTGGGTCAAACGTTTCTGCAAGTCTTAAAACGTCTGAATTCGCCCTTCCACAGGCCTAAAAAGTGTTGAAATTGGAGCAGAAAGACTGAAATTCATAAAGTCATGGCATTAAATGTTGCATACGCTGCAAAAAAAAAAAGTCTTCCTCAGTATTTTTGTTTTGTTTTACAAAGCAAATATCTCAACATCCTTAAATCAAGATACATTTATAGAAACGTTTTCTTAGATGTTTTTTTAAGCATAAGCTTACTTAAAGGGATAGTTCACCCCAAAATGAAAATTTGATGTTTATCTGCTTACCCCCAGGGCATCCAAGATGTAGGTGACTTTGTTTCTTCAGTAGAACACAAATTATGATTTTTAAGTCCAGCCGTTGCAGTCTATCAGTCGTATAATGCATGGCAATGGTAACAAAATCTATGAGAGTAAAAAAAACATGCACAGACAAATCCAAATTAAACCCTGCGGCTCGTGACGACACATTGATGTCCTAAGACACGAAACGATCGGTTTGTGCGAGAAAGCGAACAGTATTTATATCATTTTTTACCTCTAATACAGCACTATGTCCAACTTCCTTGAGCGTGCGCACGGCATCCGGTGCGTGAGGTGTGTACGCGCTCTGGCGTAGTTTATGTTAATGGGTGTGTTGATATCCAGCCGAAGAGCAATCAACCATAACTTCAGGCGAGCAGGCTCAGAAGTTGGGAATACGTGGAAAGTCACCACTCCCGAATGAGTTCGCGCGAGAGAACTTAATCTTTTAGTTTTAAGTCGGTTTGAACAATCCGGCTAAGCGCAAGTAAGTACCATTTTGATTAGCCGTCGTACCTACAATGACTGTGCACTGTGTAACCAATGAGTGATGTATACGCGCGAGAGATCACTTCCGGCGCTTGCGTAAACTACGCCAGAGCGGGTAAGCAGATAAACATCAAATTTTCATTTTGGGGTGAACTATCCCTTTAATTTTATTCAATTTCTCTCAATGGGAAATAAAAGCTTATTTTCCCTTTGTATTAAGTTGATTTATTCTTAGTCCATGGGCAGATATTTGTTCTTGTTTTAATGAAAAACTCACTGAATTTGTATCAACTTCTCATAAAACAAGACTTCTTATTTTATGCCATTTCACTTCTCAAGTAAATGTATCTTCATTTTTAAAGAATCTTTAGATATCTGCACTGGAAAACAAGACAAAAACACTGAGAAAGAATGTCACGTTTTTGCAGTGTGATCAGAAGGTACAGTAAAGGTTATTTCCATATAGTGGTTAGGAGCAGAGTTGTTCAAGCAAGTGTTTTTTTTTTTTTTTTTCGTTTTTTTTGGTGAAGTGATCTGTAGGAAGTTGCATTTTCAAACTTTGAAATGTTGCTAAAACAAGAAATTTCGAGATCATATTGATGTATTCCATTCTGTTGATTCCTTACATTTTCTTTACACAGAAATAAAGACAGATATCAACAGATATGTACAAGACTGGCAATACAAATGACATAAAAATGTCTTAAAAAGTCTTAAATTTACCTTCATAAAACCTGCAGAAAGTTGTTTGCAGCCTATTTAGTTCACATTTTGTAGCCAAGATGCTGATTAAATGTACTTTCTTTCTTGAGTGGAACACAAAATAAATTTTTTTGTATTTCTGTATTCCTCCCTCCCCTCCCCCATACAATGACCGTCAGTGGTGTCCAGTGTTGTTTTGGTCCCCATTGACTTTCAATGTATGGATAAAACAGTCCTCGTGTTCTGCAGAAGAAAGAAAGTTATAGAGGTTTGAAACAAAATGAGGATTAGTGAATAATGACAGAATTTGAGTCAACTATACTGCTTTAACTTTTTAATTGCACTTTACTGTATATATGTTTCCAAGAAGGATTTATGAATGCATCGTATTTCTAGTTACTCCAAGTTCCCTCAATACATCTCAATACGGTGCAATTCACAAGCCATTTAATGAGTTCTCGATAACAAAAAGCAAACCAGATTCACTTCAAAAGGAGCGTAATGACCCCACAATGCCTTGTCAGCTCCTAAAAAAGATCGCAAATTATTTATTGTCTCTTTCGCTCATTAGCATGTAGTTTACATCCTTTATAAGAAAGGAAAACATGTGGTTTCTCATCTCAAAGCGGTTCGCCTGCGGATCTGCAGAGGGAACTTGGCGAGCGTGCATCACCCCAAACACTTCACTGTTATCTTCTCTACTTCCTCCTCGTTCCCACTGGGACTCTCGTCCTCGCTTTGAAGTAGCTGCACTTGAAAAAGACATCTCATGCACGCTGAGAGGAGTAATATAAAAAAACGTCGAGAGGAGATTGGTTTTGGCTGCTCGAGTTAGAGGGATTTGTGGGTCAGACTCAAAAACTGCGCGCAGCAGCAAAAGGATGTAATTGTTGTCGTTGCTCAAAATCAAGCGTGTGCCGTTGTGAGAAAAACTTCTAAGCGATGCCAGGAGAACCACACACCGTCCGTGCAATGCGGTACGCTCTGTCTCTTCTGGCCCACTGAAAATAGCGAGACCTCCCTCCTCATTTGGTTGTGAAAACATCGCTCAGTCTTGTCAGTGTGTGCCCTTTCATGCATACGGTCTGGCAAACAAGTGGATCTCTCCCCCTATAGCTTGTGTGCATATATAGTAAACACTTTAATGTGCACCCGCTCTGCTCGGTTGCTGCTTGCTTCTTTAAATCAGCCTATTTTAGTTGTAATGTTCATTTGATGTTAATTGAAGCCAAGGGTAATGACAGCGCTGGCAGGCACACTTGTTCTACTTTGCGCCCAGAATCAAAAAGCAGGCTGCAGCTCTCTGCCATTTTTAGTATCTGACACAAGCAATCGTTTTCTATCAGACACCAGGGATTTCATCTGGAATAATATGATGATGCTACGGGCTGTCGTAATGAAGGGTTGTAAGATGGAGGCTTGTTTTGGCATGTAACAGCTGGCTGACATAAATTTAGGAAGTGATGCATATTCTGCGATTTGTAGGAATTGTTGAATTGTTGGAACTGAATTTATGGTTAATAAGAGGTGATATGGTGTTTTATTGTGTTGTGATTGCGGTCGACATTCATTGGAGTCATAATATTTGGTCAAGTCTTGATGATACTGAATTATACCAGTCTTCAATATGATAAGCAGGCAATATATGTACAGTGTTTAACAATGTATTTAGCAATATTGTATATATTTACAGTTTTTTGTCTTGTATTTTTATTACTATATAAAGCTACTAATGTGTTTTCTGAAATGCTAGTTGTAATACATAATCACAAATTACCTTCAGAACATGAGCAATTGTCTCATCCTATGCCAACAATAACACATTCACATAGGACACATATAAAACATTTTAGTTAATAAAATATTTCTTAATAATAATACATAAACCTTCAGAACATGAGCAATTGTCTCATCCTATGCCAACAATAACACATTCACATAGGACACATAGGACACATTTTAGTTAATAAAATATTTCTTAATAATATGCTTTTTTTTTTTTTTTTACATCAATGCTGGGTGAAAGTTACTGATCAAAAAATAAATAAATAAATAAATATATATATATATATATATATATA